TATTGAGCACATACTGTGCAGTCCAACACTACAATGACTACTAATTCCTGTAATTCCCACAGCAACCTTATGGGGCAGATTTTATCATCATGCCCAGTTTCCTGATGAGGGAACAAATGAGAGAAAGAGTTTTCCTAACTCGCTTAATATTTCTAGTTATGAAATTACGAAATAGAGAATCAATTCTGGAGAATCTCATTCCGTAGCTTATGCCCTAAGTTCTTAACTACACCACACAACAATCAGGCAAATTTTGCTTGGTGCTCACTCTTGTTTCGGAGGAGGAAACAAGACTCAGGGTCACACATGTCTCTCATGGTCACTGCATGTATTAACCAGCTTGGCTACTATAACAAAATACCAAAGACTGGGTGGCTTTAACAACAGAATTTTTTTTTTTTTTTCCTCATGGCTCTGGAGGCTGGACATTTGAGACCAACATTGAGGGAAAGCAGATTTCATTCTGAGGCCTCTTCTCTGGGTTACAGGTGGCTACATCTGGCTATGTGCTCACATGAGATCTTTGTGTGTGTGCAGGGAGATCACAGGAGCAAGCTCTTTGTTGTCTCTTCCTGTAAGACCCCACCCTCATGACTTCACCAAACCCTAATCACTCTCAAAGGCTCCATTTCCAGGGACCATCACCCCTGCGGGTGGACTTCACATATGCATTTTGAGGCAATACACACATACGATCCGTAACATTCTGCCTCTGGCCTTCCAAAATTCATATCCTTCTCACCTACAAAGTGCATTAAATCCATCCTGACAGCCTCCAAAGTCTTAATTCATTCCAGCATCAATTCTAAAGTCTAGAGCCCAAAGTCTTATCTAATTATCGTCTGAATCAGGAATAGGTGAGACATGAGGTAGGATTCACCTTGAGTGGATAGAGGGAACAGGGGAGGTCCTTGCCTTGTTCCTGATCTTAGTGGGGAAGTTTCAAGTTTCTCACCATTAAATCTGATGTTGGGTGTAGGGGTTTTTTTTGTGGACAGTCTTTATCAAGAATAGGCACTTCCCTTTCTATTCCTAGTTGAATGAGAATTTTTATCATGCATCAGTGTTGGATTTTGTCAAATTCTTTTTTTTTCTGCATCTACTGATATTAACTTGCAATTTTTAATTTTAGCCTATTGATGTGTTTGAGCCTGTTGACTTCTGAATGTTGAACCAGCTTTGCATACCTGGGATAAATCCGACTTGGTTGTGGTGGATAATTCTTCTCACACACTGTTAAATTCAATTTGCTAATATACCGTTGAGGATTGTTGCATCTATGCTCATGAAAGATACTGATCTGTAGTTCTCTTATAACATCTATTTCTCATTGTGGAATTAGGGTAACGCTGGCCTCATTGAATGAGTTGGGAAGCATTTCTATACTCTGAAAAGGATTATAGAGGATTGGTATAACTTCTTCATGAAATGTTTGTTAGAATTCACCAGGAAACCCATCTGGATCTGTTGCTTTCTGTTTTGGAAAATTATTAATTATTGGTTTAATTTCTTTAATAGATAAAGGCCTATTCAGTTAGTCTGTTCTTTCTTGTGTGAATTTGGGCAGACTGTGTCTTTCAAGTAACTGGCCCTTTTCATCTAGGTGATCACTTTTGTGGGCACAGAGCTGTTCGTAGTATCCCTTTAGGATCCTTTTCATTTCCATGGGATCTGTAGTGATTTGTTGTGCTTCATTTCTGATATTAGTAATTTGTTTGTTCTCTTTGTATTCTTAGTCTAACTAGTCTTATTGATTTTATTGATCTTTTCAAAGAATCAGCTTTTGTTTCCATTGACTTTCTCTATTGATTTCCTGTTTTAAACTTCATTGGTTTCTGCTCTAATTCTTATTATTTTTTTCATTTTGCTTACTTTGAACCAATTTGCTCTTTTTCTAGCGTCCTAAGATGGAAACCTAGATTGCTAGTATTTGACTTTTTCCTTAGATATTTTTTCTTTTCTAATATATTCAGTGAGAGTGATGCCAAAAATTTCCCCCTAAGCACTGCTTTCACTGAATCCCACAAATTTCAGTAAGTTTCATTTCCATTTAGTTCAAAATATTAATTTCACTTGAGGTTTCATCTTTGACATATGTGTTATTTAGAAGTGTGTTCTTTACATGTATTTTGGGATTTTTTTCAGTGATCTTCCTGTTATTTCTAGTTTAATGCCACTGTAGTCTGAGAGCAGTCAGTATATGCTTTTACTATAATGTATAATTTGAACAGTTAAATATTTATTTACTATCTCTTATTGTGTATCAATAATGTGAACTGAGCCTATAATCATGCATTTTTTTCATTTGGCTTTGAATTGAGTGAAATAACTTCATTAAGTTATAGGCCCAATGTTCTTCCTTCCATTTTCTTGAGCAATTTAACTCCTCCTAGCAAGCATGGCATTTTGTGAACATTTATTGATGATATTACCAAGTTTGGGGTGGGAGAGGTCTTTGATCATTATTTCAATGTATTTAATACATTTTAATTTATGGGTTTTCCATTTATTTTTTGAGCAAATTTGACATTTAATATATATAAAGTTACATATTTCCTCTGGTCCTAAAATTTACCAGTGTATAATGGTTTGCAATATCATTTTTTGGTCTTAGATATATATCTCCTTTCTCAATTAATATTCCCGGACCAGAGATTTGTTTAACTTACTTTTCAAAGTAACACCTCTTAATTTTGTAAAGATGTGCTATTGTGTTTGTTGCTGTGTTCTCTACTTCATTCATCATGCTCTTACCCTTACTACTTTTGTCTTCTTTCCTTTGGTTTTAGTACCTGATTCGTTTCCAACATTTTGAGTTTAATGTGTAATTTATTTTGTCCTTTTTTGCTTCCTGATACATGTATATCAAGCTAAACACATCTCTGTAACTATTGCCTTAGTTACGTCTGCTTTTATACTGACTGTAAATCTCCCTGTATTAACATACACTTTAATAAATGTTATTTTTCTGGCCGCAGAATATTCCAGTCATTACTCTCAGATATATACATTGTTTCCAGCATGTTACTGTTGTAGATGATATTATGATAAATATATTTGCAATTACAATTCTTTAAATTTGCTTAATTTTGATGTATTTCCAAGTCATAGTTTGATCATTATGGAATCTTAAAACTGAGGCTCTTGAGTCAAAAGTAGGAATTTTTTAAAGCTCTTTTGATACCTTGAATTTTATTATCGTCAGCAGATAAGATACAGAATTTTGCCACAATTATTACTTTCTCTAATTTAAAAGAATACACTTCTGCAAAAGTGGGCCAATCTGATGACCCTTTGCTTGAATCCCTTAACCTTTAACTTTGGACAAAATAACAAAAACTTTTTTGTTCTTAGTCTTCTAACATATTAGATTAAAAAGTAGCAATACCATAATATTACTTCCTGTTTGAATCTTCTTGGTTTTAACAATCCACAATTACTATATATTCACAACAAAAATAGGAAAGTTTGTATTTTTACAAGTTGTAATTATTTGCCTTATAGAATAGTGTTCCTCAAATATTGGTCTCAAGATTTGTCTAATGACTGCTCAAGAGACTTTATGTTTAAATCTGTTTTATCTATTGTTAATTAGCATAGAAAGTTTAAATTAAGAAATAATTAAATATTTATTACTTTTAATAAAACTAATTTATTATTTAATTATCCATTATCCATTATTTATTTATTTAATTCACTATTCATTTTAAAATAACTACATTAATCACATTACACATTAACATAAATGGCATGTTTTTTTGTGCTTCTGTTTTTTGAAATGTGCTTCACATATTTTTCAAAAACCAAAGTGTTAGAAAGAACAGTAGCATTACTTTAGATTTTTGGAAGGAATTGTAATGCCTAGCTTAATAACAGACAGCTTGATTCACATCATCTCTGCTGTTGCATTCAATCTTTTGTGAGTTTTATTTTACTTTTTAAGTGTTGTAAAGAATATCTGGCCTCACATAGATGAGCAGTTGAGAAAAAAAAGTGTACTTTAATAACCTTTTTTTACCATTGTGGATACTTCAGAATAAACCAAACTTGATTAGTGTGAAGTTTCTTAGAAATGAATTGCATTGCAGAATCTAAAATGAATGTCATGCGCTCTGTGCGATGTCTCACTGGTCTGTCTTGCGCTTTGAGTGGGTCTTTTACCCCTGGTGTTAACCTTGCAACATCATGCACTAGTCATTTAAAAATATCAGCTCACTGATTTCTGTAACTCCTCCAACTATGAGCATATTTAATTGTAAAACATGAAGAAATAATTTGTTGATATGGCCGATATTTTCATAAGAAAAGTCTTGAAGCTTTGAGAAACAGCCAACTTCATGGTGGGAGATAACAATTTTTCCAAAATTTGATTTTCACTCGTAAACTCGAATATTATCATTGGCAATGATGCCAATCATTTTATTTAAAGAGACACATTCATTTAGTTTGTTCCTGAGGAAATGTATGCTACACAACCAAGTCTGAATACATATAGTTTATCTCTTAGTCATTGTTTCTAAGTAAAAATCATGTCCTATGGAAAAAAGCATAGTTCACCTTGCAATTCAAACACATACAGTTATTTTTGGAGGCAACCATTGTGCTTACATATGCATCAGAAGTGATTTATATGTATTTTTCATTTTGTCATCTAGAATAAGTATTCAAGCTCAACATTTGATAAAATTAATATTTTTATTGTTTCATCAAGAACATTTTAAAGTGAAATGGGCTTTTTTCTTCTTTCTTTAAGCATATGACAATAAAGAAACAAATATTTACTAGTATAAATGATTCCGCTACTCTGATTTGTACTAAGATGCCGACAGTTTCAGCCACCACTTTTTTTTTTTATATCATTAATGCCAAGTGTCCACACAATGAAAACAAGTAATCTGATATTATTCTGAAAATGGTGTAGACTCCATAAACCCCTTGGAGGGGTTCTGAGGAAATCTCTGTGTCCATAGGCACATTCTGAAAAGTGCAGTCCTAGTTGTGCCTGGCTGGCTCAGTTGGTAGAGCATGTGACTCTTGATCTCAGGATCATGAGTTCAAGCCCCATGTTGGGCATGGAGCCTACTTAAAAAAAAAAAAAAATGCAGTCCCAGAATGGAATGACAATCAGTTATTCTTCCCATGTTGAAAATGTAACATGTTTATGCCACCATTCATTAGGTATTCAATTAAACATAGCCAAACTCAATCACTAGTTGATATAGAATTTAAATGCTATTGCTAAGAGAATCCAAATTGTAGCATTAGCTGAGTGGAAAGGGTTTAGCAACAAGCAGGAGGGTCTACACATTGTGGTCTGGAAAGCTTGTGACTGCGAAGCAGAGCCAAGCCATTTTGCTTAACTATTGTTTGCTTAATCTCCAGACTCAGACAATGCAATGACCAAGGCTGGAGTCTTAAGCAAAATGATAGAAAACATTTAAAAATGGTGGTGTGTATAGCTCCTTCTTGATCCATTTGGTGAAGTCTGACAAGAGAAAGATAAACATTATTTATTTTCCAAACTCAGACTCTTTCACAGTGAAAGGGGGAACTATTAATAAATTTGTCTGGACAAGGAGTATAAACTGGGATAAATTCATTCCATGATGCTGTGCGGAATGAATGAAAAGGAATATCACAGTGCTAAGGGACACGCTGCATGTGTGTGGCTTGTGTTCTAAACTCATCGAGAGTCTTATTATTTATAGCATTGCAGGGTTGGAAAAAAATTGCTTTTCTTTAGAAACTTCAAGCAATTGTAAAGGGTCACTGTAAAATGGCAACCATAGCAGAAGTTAAGAATGTGACCCCAAATCTTTTTCAAAAATCCCACCATTCTTTAACTATTCCTCCTACATTCTGGGAGGAAAAGCACTGAGTCAGTGTGTTTCCTACCTGAGCCTATTGTTTCAAGTGACCTTAAGCCATTAAAATAAGAGAAGAATGGACCAAACAGGGAGGTTCGTGACTAAGAGACAAAAATTACCATGTTTGAAATGCATATTGTGACATCTTTGGCTGGGGTAATTTGCACATAAAATAGACAAACACACTGGCAGTCCACTAAGATTTTGAGGAATAGGCATTTCCAAATAAAAGTCAAACTCAGGTCTATCTGGCAGAAGCTTGTGCTAAAGTGCATCTTCTCTGGAAGCTCATTAGCTGGAAAGGACTCAGATTCGGACTCTAGAGAAGTTCCCATGACACCCAGAGATCCTGGGGTTTGAGTTTTTTCAGTAAGTTTGAGGTGAGTCTGGGTTGTGTTTTGGGCTGAGTAGAGGGTGCCATCATCCTTAATCTATTGATAGTTTATTTTTCTGTCACATGCAGCCCAAATCAGTTAGCCTCCTAGTTGAGTTGACATTGTAATTTGGCAAACGTAACCTTGACCCACCTACATCCATTTATATTCTGTTTTGTGTCAACCTGCTGGTTTATATGCTCAAATCTACACCTTGGTACCAGAGCTCCCTGAACAAGTCAATGTTTGTTCCTTTATCTTCTTAAAAATTGCTTAAGTTGCTCCTCAAAATAACTGTCTCTTTTTTGATTAAGAAAACCGGGAATTTATGTACATATGTCAAATTTTGCAGAAAATTTTGACATTACCTTGGCAGGACCCCTAATTTAACACTATGTGGTTGAATAAATGAATGAATGTTTGCATGCTCAATGAACTGACTATATTTAGTTTTTTTCCTTCAGATTTTAGCCTTTTAGAATTCTTTTTCCTTTCTCTGTCCCTCCCCCACCCTCTCTCTTTTTCTCTTTCTCCTTCTCCTCAATCCTCCTTCTCCTTTCCCCTCCCTTTCTTCTTCTGCTCACTTTCCCTAGGATCTAGCTAGGAGGATCTCAGAAAGGGTCATGACTTTGGTGTCCAGTCTAAGAACTTTTTGTCTTATTCTACATCATGAGAATTTTCTCCTGAGTTTTTCTAAAAGTTTAGTTTCATGTTTCAAGTTTGACTCAAGGAACTATGTTTTATTAATTGTTGTACAGGTTTTAATCTTTGGGTTGCCTGGTAAGTGTAGATGTCCAGTCCGCCTTGGGCCTCCGCTGCATGAGTGAAGGGGGGGCACAGCTTTTTCAGTGGTGTTTGGCTAAAGTAGAGGGGCTACTGGGGAAATGTCTTCTGCCTTGCAAGGCTGCCCCATCCTGGTCCTTTAGCTAGATAAACTAGGCATCTTCCTTCCTCCTTCTCTCCCTCCCTCTCTCCTTCTTTCCTTCCTTCCTTTTTTCTTTCCTTCCTTCCTTCCTTCCTTCCTTCCTTCCTTCCTTCCTTCCTTCCTTCCTTCCTTCCTTCCTTCCTCCCTTCCTTCCTTCCTTCCTTCCTCCTTTCCTTCCATCCTTCTTTCCTTATCTGGGTTCCAGGTTGCTACCTTCTTGTGCTCCAAGTCTGGGATATGCAAGGTAAAAAGCAAGCTCAGGGAACTCTTTACTATTTCATTCTTTTGGTCTCGATTTCCATAAGCTACTATGTTTCCTTTTCCCCACCTTTCAGAGTTTCCAGTGTTTGTTTTACATATAATATTCAAGGTTTTTAGTTGTACTCAGCAAGGGGACTAGAGGACAGTGTATCTCCTCCAACTTCCAAGAAAGAGAAGTCTTGTCCACAGATTTTTATTGATATATTCAAAATGTATTCTTGAAGTCCTTTTTAAAAAATTCAAGGAAATACAAACTTTCTTGTATTTAAAGGGTATAGTAAAATGTACACCAAGGTGCCTGGGGGGAGCAGTCGGTTAAGCGTCTGACTCTTGGTTTCAGCTCAGGTCAAGATGTCAAGGTTATGGGATCGAGCCCTGCGTTGGGCTCAGCACTCAGCATGTAGTCTGCTTGGGACTCTCTCTCCCTCTCCCTCTGCCCCTCCTGCTCATCATGCTCTCTCTCTCTCTCTCAAATAAATCAATAAATCTTTAAAAAATAATAAGGTAAGATAAAATAAAATGTACACCATTTAATACTGGTTTGAAAAAAAAAGATTATGGCCTTGATTTGTTGTGAGTGTTGGAGAATAAGATCATGTTTCTCTAATTTTCATTTACCTGATTGCACAATTTTAGGATAAGATGGGCAGTGGCAAGACTTGGAAGAACATACCCATTACAAGATACCAAGGTTTTTATTTTTCCTTCTCTAATTTAACATTTCTCTTTCCTTCCATGGTCTTCCTCTGTACCTTACCACAGCCCCACAACCTCTGAGTATTTCCTCTGGATGTGAGTCACACATTTCATTCTGTGTCAGTGAATGCACATAACATTTTTTCATGCTTAGTGACAAGAATATTTTTAAGCTTTTCTTTTGTGTGTAACCCTGCTCTATCTGGTTCTATGTGATTCAAAGGAGCTAATCATACATACCCCACAGACAGAAAGAGAGAGGTGCGCACAAATCTTAAATGTAAAGATGATACATTTTCCAAAGTAAATGCGCCTGTGTAACCACCTACCCACCAGATAAAGAAACAGGATATTTAGGATATTAGCAGCAGTTCAGAAATATCTCTATCAATATTCTGCCAGTCTCCCATCACTTTCTGAAAGCTAACTATTACCTTAACTTTTAACATCATAGACATAGATCAGTTTTGTCTGATATAGCATATATGTATATATTATATATATAATATATATTTTATAAATAATATATATTATATATTATATATAATATATAATAATGAATATATTAATGAATGAATATATAATAATGAATATATTAATTTTCCACTGTATTAACATTTATTTATCCATTCTACTGTTCACAGGCATTGCATTGCGTTCAGTGTTTAACATATGAGATAGAAGCCAGATTCTATCTTTCTTTGTACAAATATTAATTGATTCAGAATCCTTCATCGGATGAGAATCTTTCCCTGTTTGTGTACATTTTAACTTTGTAAATACCAAATGCTGCATAAGGGTCAATCTGTTTCTCAGCTCTCCTTTCTTTCCCATTAATCTAGATATCTGCTCTAATGCCAATAACAAGTTGTCTGAATCACTGAGGCTATATACACCTGATATCTGCTAGTATATGACAAATGGTTTTATTCTTCTAAATCGTGTTTACTTGCTTGGCCCTCTGAGTTCCTAGCTGAGAGTTTGAATGGAACTTCATGACTTGACAGACCAGATTAGAGAGAACCAAGTCTTTCAAATACCTTTTAATTCATGAAAGAAACATATCTCTCCATTTTTGTAGGTTTTATTTAAATTTACTTATTTATTTATTTATTATTTGTTAAATTTATTTATTTCAATAAAAAATTCTTCTGTATTTTCGTCCTTTTTTCCCCTCTCTGTATCTTAGTCTTATATATTCTACTGACCTGTTTTTTTGCTTCAGTAATCCTCTCCTCAATCATATTAATCTCTGTTAATATTATGTATTGAGTTCTTAACTTCAATTATTTAATTTTATCTCCTAGAATTTCAATATAATTCTATCTTTACCGATGCTTATTTTCTGTTGACGGTGTCCATCAAATCATCCATTCTAATGAACATAATATCACATTTATTTTACTTTCTGTGTCTTGCAATTTTAATACATAGATCTCCTGAGAACTTTTCTAATGTCTGTTTTTAAATTACAGCTTAAATCATTTTATTTTTGTCTCTGGTATGCATGCTGATTTTTAACTGAATGCCATGAAATATTTTAGAAATTATTTAAGGTTCTGGATAGTCTTATATTCCCACATTTAGAATTTATTTTCCCTTTTCTGAAATAGGATAGGAGCAAATTACCTAAATCCAATCTAAGATTGATCTGATTTGAAAATGGGGATCAATCTTTATTAAAGCTTGTTCATTTCATCCCTTCCTCTCATATGTAGCCCGTTGGAAGGCTGTGTATCTGTTAGGGACTCTCTTCCTGGTAGAGCCTGTCATTCAACATGTTATCTTCCCAAATGTTAGAATATTGGATTATCTTAGCTTTTCAGCTTTTTACCTAAATTCTACTCTACTTCTCAATATAGCCAGTGCTAATGAATTAGTAAATTCCCTGTGTGGAAAATTAGCATGCATATTGGATTATCTTTCCATATTTCCTATATCTATTTTTAGGACTTTCCCCCTTCAAGTCCTGCAAACTTGGTGGCTCTGTGTTGGCTTCAAAGATATATGCTTTTTAAATTTTTGTATCTGGTTCATCAAATTGTTCTCCTTGGGAATATTAATCTGATACAATCTAGTTCTCCATCACCAGAAGCAGAAGTCTTCACATCTCTCTCAGTTTAACCTTTGTTATAACTGTCCTAGAGCCATCTTCGGTCTTGGTGGAGTTTTAAAATCCCAAGTTTGCAAAGAGAGACATTTCTTCCAGTCTGCCACCAATTCTGACATATAATGTCCAATGATCATCAATGCCACTATTTTTCAGATGGTTTAAAAAAAAAAAAAAGTTCTGTAGTGTGTCTCTTCCTCCAAAAATGGACAAAGGAAATACCCTTCTATTAATATTTGGAATTGATGTGAGTCATAGCTACCATGTTTTGGGATTAGTATTAATGCCTTATGCACTTGTGCTATTTCATATACCTTCCTGAAGAATTTTAATTAAAAAAAAATTCCTCTTCCCAACATAATTGTCAGTATTTTCCATTGCATTGCAGTCTTCTGTTTATGAAGTGATAGTGTCTTGGTGATAATTGTTTTCTGCTGAGCTACTGTTTTCCTTAATAAACTGGTATGAAAATTAGTCACGGGAACCCTCACTACCACTTGTAGTCAACTGCAGACCCAGCAGGAAGAGCCGAACTTGACCTTACATGGACTTGACCTTGAACACAGACACCACTCTACTATCCCAGCTGACAGAATCATGCTTTCCTTATCTCCTCCCCCCTCCCCCCATAAACTGCTCAGCCAAGGAGAAGCCACTCTAGTCAGAACTCCCAGTTTACTCCAAGGACTTTTAGTTTATAACACCCTCCAACTTCCTCCTTTTCTCCCTAAAAACAAGTACCTCCCCTTTGTTCTCTGGGCTTGTCTGTAGTTTTGCCACAGTTTGTTTGTCCCAGATTGCAATTTTCTTTTACTCCCAAATAAACCCATCTTTTGTGGTAAAATAACTGGCGGTTTTTATTTTTAAGTTGTGGAAACCATGAAATTGCAGCATGGCATATTCCCCTCTCTGAAGGGCCCAGTAGTGAGGTCAGAACAAAATTTGTTGACAATCAGTAGAACGTTTATAGGAAACTCTAAAAACATTTGCTGGACTAGACTATTTCTGGCTTCATTTTTCTACTATTATTTTTGTCCTAATTTCTTTGGGTACCTTTACCATTTCTGTTGAATAGTGTAGGAAATCATTTTTTTAGTCAATCCTGTCTGTTTGGTTCTTTTTTTTTTTTTCCAGGTAGCCACTTTAAAACCTTTAAAAATGTTGATAAAGCAATGTGGAAGTGATGAACTAATTAAAAAGAAATTTGTAAAAAAAACCTCCTACAACTGAATTGTAAATGCTCAAAGAATGAAGTATTGTCTTATATATTTTGAATGAAGCTAGGCAGGAAGCAAGTACTTTAAACAAAACATGTGCTGAATACCAAATTCTCTCTTACACTTTTATATATTATTTTTTGTAAGTATATCTGGGATTTTCACACATTAGGTATTTGATAAATGTTAAATGAATTAATCACTATTTAGGAAGTAATAATATATAAATTAAGTGAAAGGGAAGAGAAATTAAATACACCAAACTCACTGTTACTTTGGGACACAGAGACAAAAACATATTTAATACACAATAAATTAACATAATTTTCTTCTAATTGATGTGAATTAATTAGCTTTTCAGTACTGATACATGTAGAAATCTGAAGGGCTGAAAGTGTTTGCCCTGTTCTTAAGCAAGCAGACTCTTTTTCCCTCCAGAAGGCAAATTGTTCCTGAGGACTCTGAAAGCCTCCCTTGCTCTCAAAGCATCAGTTTTGAGCAAGTAGACAGCTCTCACACATACCTGGATTTTAGTGCTTGAAAATATCATTTCTGAGCCCTCGAACAGTTATTTCACGTCTCTGAGCTTCAGTTTCTTCAGTGACAAATTCACGAATAAACTCATCATTGTATTTTTTTCAGAAGCTAAAGGGGTCAGTGAGCAATGAGCATGCAAGAGGAGGGCAGGACTGAGGTAAGGTTCCTGGCATTTGGTTTTTGGTATTGTGCAGCTTTCCACAGTTGGTGAACCACCTCAAGCAGCAGATCCCTGGCTCCTGCCCCAAAGGAGGGGAGCGCTGACTTGGGTGTCGCCAGCCAAAGGGTTAGCAACTCTTGTCAGAAACAGAGAGGGAAGAGGAGTTTCTAAAGGGAAAAGGAGGGGTCTTAGGACAAGGCTTTCGATCAACTGGTTGTTTGATGCAGAAAACCATGGTAACCAGTCATGCCTCTCCTATTTTATTTATTTTTTACTTTATTTTTTGAGATGGAATGTATAGATTTTATACTATTTGTTGATTTCAACAATTGAATGAATCCATGTACCACTTCCCAAAATATGATAATGTAATGAAAGTTCCCTCAATACCCTTTCCAGTCAATTAACTCTATCTCCTCAATTAAGTATTTTCTGACTTCTGGCACTGAAGGTTGGTTTTCTATGCACTTGAAATTCACATGAATGACATCATATGTTAACTTATTTTTGTGCCTGCTTCATTTATTCAACATAATGTTTTGTACATCCATGCATATTGTTTCATGTCAGTAGCCCATTCCTTTTCAGTGATGATTGGTATTCCACTCCATGAATATGACATAGTTTATTTATTCATTTCTGTGTTTGTTTGACAACTTATTTTACTGACTACTGGCCATATTAAATCATGCTTCTACGAATATTCGTGCACAAGTCTTTTTGTGGACGTGCGTTTTCATTTATCTGTAATAAATATTTTAAACTCTACCCAAGTCCATGCACAAAAGTCAGTTCAAAATGCATCATAAATTAAACTTTAAACATAGAACTAAAAAGTTTCTAAATGAAAATATTGAAGATTATCTTGATAAGCTTGAGGCAGACAACACCATCTTAGAACATTAAAAAAAATCTCTAGCATTCAAATGTATACCCAGAGGGTATTATGCTATGTGAATTAAGTCAGACAGAGAAAGAAAATACCATATGCCTTCACTTATATGTGGAATCTAAAAAACAAAACAAACACTCTCTTAAATACAGAGAACAAACTGGAGTTTGCCAGAAGGGAGGTAGATGGGGGGATGGGTGAAATAAAAAAGAACAGAGAATATATTAAATTGGCCTTCATTATAATAAACCTTTCTGTTTATCAAAAATTCCTATTAAGAACATTAATAGGACAACACAAACTGAAGGATTATGTATATAGTACATGTGAAGTACTTCTGTAATTTAACCATAAAAAAACTAATACAAATTGGGCTGAAGTTTGAATATATGCTATGCAAAGAAGATAAATAAGTGGCCAAGAAATGCATGAAAAGTTGCTGAACATCATTAGTCCTCAGAGAAATGCCAATTGATACTATAATGAGATGTCTTTTGCCATCCACTAGAAGGACTGAAATCAAAAAGTCTATGAACACCAGATGTTGGCGAGGATATGGAACTGACAGAAATGTCTACAAACACCTTGGAAAATTGCTTGGCAGCTTCTTAAAAAGCCCACCGTATATCTACTCTATGATCCTGCCATACTCAAGCACATTTATTGAACATTTCCTAAATGTGAGACAATGAACAAATCAAATTTCATGGGTATTATTCAATTTTATCTTCCCAATGATACTTTGAGGAGGGACTAGTTGTATTCCTATTTTGTAGATTTTTAATCTAATTACATGGACAAGATCAAAATGTTGATAATGGTCATAGTGGGGATGGCTCTCTCAGTGAAGGGTCATGGTCTCATTATTGGTGACTAAGCAATTGAAAGATTTATAGCTTTTCATGGAGAAGACAAACATGCAGAGGTTTGGTGAGATAAAGTTGGCCTGGGACCCCAGTTCTGAATCTCTTCTACTAAACAAGCTGTTTGACCCCTCAGAATCTCAGTGTCACACCTGGAAGGTGGGCAGAAATGGTGGGTTATGAAGAGTAAATGGACAGCATGTGTAAGGGGATGAACAGAGAACTTGCACTTAGGGATTAGGAAATGCACATTCCTTTCCTTTTTCCCTTTTCCTTAAACATATTCTAGTATTTGGACATTTTCATTTTGAAACATTAGACTCAATGCCTCCAGTTTTGAAAAATGTAAGTTTTCAGTATATCACTGCAAAACTAGTATTGGTTTTTCTTAAGAAGTACTAGTTTGAGAAAATGCTGGGGCTTATTCATATGTGGGGACCCTAAGGCTTACAGAACCTTTGACTCTATGTTCTAGATTCTGTGCTTTTCAATGTGCCAGCAGATTAAGCTAGAAAGGCTTGTAATTGCCATGTTATTATAATAAAGTAGATTTCAGCCATAAATACTTCTATAGTGAAAAGAGAAAAAAACCTTCAGGCTAAAGACGGTCTTCAGTGAGATGCAATCATCAGGGACCTCTTATTCATCATTTATATTCTCTGCTCTTCTAACCAGAAGGCAATAAAATGAGGAGTTCATTTTCTTACGCAGTGTTCAGCAGAGATTGCCTCCTATCACTTCCATCTCTTCAGTATCTTTCATGTATCCCCTCTTTTACATCTCTAATGCATGGGCCCAGTGATCACCAAAGACAGGTTTACTGTCACACTGTTAATTTGAGAAGGGAACTGGGACATCCATTTGAGCAAGGGTTTGAATTGAAACAGAGGAAGCAGAAGGTAAATACCATGCACTTAACTACCCCTCCCTTACTCTATTCTTGGCATTGCACTAAGCATTTGCAGTCCTTTCTTTTTTTTTTTTTTAAAGATTTTATTTATTTATTTGAGAGAGAATGAGATAGAGAGAGAGAGCATGAGAGGGGGGAGGGTCAGAGGGAGAAGCAGACTCCCTGCCGAGCAGGGAGCCCGATGCGGGACTCGATCCCGGGACTCCAGGATCACGACCTGAGCCGAAGGCAGTCGCTTAACCACTGAGCCACCCAGGCGCCCTGCAGTCCTTTCTTATTTAATCACCACTATGTGCTTAAGAGATTGGCACTGTTATGTCTCCTTTATAGATAAAGACATTGAGCAGAATCATGCAGATAGTCACTGATAAGCCAAGATTTCAACCTTACATCTCACTGCAAAGCATTTACAATTTGTCCTCCAAATAAAATTGGTCTGGTGATAGTGATTTAGTGGTGTTGGTGGTGAAGGGCTGATGGGGGTGTTACGTTGATGGTTATTACATTGGTGGTAAGATGATGTGAGTGAGCAGTCCATCCGGAGTAGGGTTATGCTGTAGGAGAGAATAGTTATCATGCTTTCGGTGAATAAATAGTTTCCAGCACTTGCCAACTATGGTTACCACGTTAATTAAGGTATTTCTCTTATCTTAAATTAGTTTATGGCCTGCTGGGGAGAACATATTTAGGGAAATAGATACATTTAAATTCTTAGTGTTCAATGCTATGTAAGTATCTCAATTCGGTGAATATTCTGTATGACTTTCAGGGGCTGTGCATGGTGCTGGAGCCTGAGGAAGGAGAAAAGAGGTCTTCACGGTACAGTGGGAAAGAAGAGTGGAGGGATAAGGCAGCATGTACTGGAAAAGGGAGAGCTACTAACCCTGTGTTGTGAGCTAAGTTGTCCTGGGAGGAGTCCATACAGGAGGCAACAGGTAAAAACAGCCTGAAAAAGTGTACATGTACTCCAGCTCAAAGAAATGACAAGTAAAAAGCTAAGGAAACATGAAATAGTGACATGTTTCAGTGATGTCTAACAAATCAGTACATCAGCCCCGGGTATACGGGAAGAGTAGAAGATATTAGTCTTGAAGTCTAACCAGAATCCATGCCACGGGACCTCTTCCGCCGTGTCCTGAGGTCAAATGTAACCTGGGGACAATAAGGAGTCATTGCAGGATTTTTGAGAACAAGATGGACATAGAATGGTTTGCCATGTCACTAAGGACAAGCCTGGTCTTACACCTTTCTTGCATACTGGCATAGGAGAGGCCAGCTACTGTTGCCAGGGTCCTCCATGCCCATCAGGCCTGGCAGAAAACATGCACAGTGACTCACTCATTCATTCAGCAAACGCATGATGTGTTTAGTATGAGGGAAATTAGTGTGTGTTTAACTTTTTGGAGTTCATGCTCCAAGGCAGGGAGACAAATGTAAGCCTAACATAATTTACTTCTTTAAAAAGCCCAGAAATTGTCCCCATGACTATGCCTTTGCTTCAACTTATCTCTTCATCTAGAATTTTAAAAATATAATCTACTGTGTGAAAACATCTGAGAATATGGATTTTGACGTGAAACAGGTCTCATGTGAATGCTTGGCCCAAAATGGCTTGATTGATGTTTGGCCTAGAGCTTTAACACAACCTCTCTCAGCCTTGGTTTCCTCGTTTGCAAAATACAGATTAAAACAGTACATAATGTGAGGGCGTAAAAAATCATGCATTTAAAATATTGCATGTCAGTCACATAGTAAACACTCATCATGCTAGCCATTGTCATTACTTCTAATCGTTACTGGCTGGGCTGTGGATGCATTCTTCCAATTGTTCTTATCCCCAGTATATTTTTTGACATTTGAAATCTCCAGACCTTCCAAAACAGCTACAATAACAATTGCCCCTGCTCTCAATACACACAGCTACCTTAGCTTTTAAATCAAAACCTCAGTCTTTTTCATTATTCTGCATTGTCTGCCCTGTTGAAAAAAAATGAACAAACTAGTATTGTGTAAGTCCGTGCCAGCTTTCTTAAACCCACCATTTTGTTCAAGCTCTGCTTTCTGCTTGAAATCTTCCCCATGTTCTGTTTCTTGAAATCCTACCCTACAACTTCCATGTCCTTCTCTCTCCAACCGAAGGTACCCCTCTTCTGAACTATCTCAGTATCAAATATATTCATGCTCCCCTATTGACATTTGTTATATATAGTCTTGGATCATTGCTTTCATGAGTTCATATCATCTGAATTAATAAAATCATAATGCATACTGTTTTTGAGTACAATATGCCACATGTTTTGCAAAGTCCCCAACCCGCAGTATCTCTCATATTTACAACACCTCCTTGAGATAAGTATTATGGGCTTCTTTTACTTAAGATGACCATGAGGTGCAGAGATTTTAAGTAATATTCTAAGATCATGCAGTAAGTGGAAAAAGGTTTCAAGCCAAAGTCTGACTTCAAAGCTCATTCTATTGTACCAACTTCTTTCAAATTTACCTTCTCCTCCTGCTAGATTATAAATTCTTTGAAATCAGGAAAGTGTCTTATTCAGCTCTGCATATCCCCCAAGCCCTAGCCTTGAGTCTATTTTTTAACAGAGAACTAGCTGCTGCGCTATGCATTTTTACATGTTATTTCAAACACTGCTGGCAGTAACTCTGAGACAGGTGGTATTATCATTGCTACTTGAACTCAAATACGGAAATGGAGACAAAGAGGGGCTGAGTGATTAGTTAATCTCTTCCAAACGGCAGGGGCCAGATTTGAAGAGAAATAGAAAGCCGTGAGCACCAGCTATGTGCTGGGCATGAGCTCAGGCATGGTGGGCACTGAGAAGCAATCACAGTCCTTGGCAGAGAGGCACTCTGCGTCTAGGAACATAGAAGGTGTGTGAGGAAGGCTATAAAAAATGGTTTTAAAGGCAAAGAGAAGTGTTTGAGCTCCGACCAGCAAACTCTCCTGTCTTAGTGATGATATTTGGCCCATACATCCTGACAGCTCCACTCAGTTTTATCCAGTCTTCTTCTGGAGTTTGAAATGTACAAGATTACATAGGGGATGTTATGGGAAATGTCTATTTTTACATTTAATTTTCACTTACTGAGCTGAGAAATTTTAGGAGACCTAACTGCCTTACGGAAAATCCTCCCTGAGTAGTTCTGGGCCTTTTATTCTTAGGAACCATCTGGTGAGAAGCCTGGGTTCTTGGCTGGTAACTTTAAATTTATCCTGTGTTCTTTTCTTTATATCTTCTTTCTTCCTTTCCTTCTTTTCCTTTTTTATGGTTCCAGTAAAACTTCTTCCTTTCCTCACTTCCTCCATCAATCTAGCAATGGCTTTTCCCTCTTCATTGGTGGACATGTTTGCATTTACGAATGTTACCAGGGAAGCAGTTAGTATTAGAAGAATGCTCTATTGAGAAAACCTATGGACCTTGGAGCCTTTGATTCAAAGAGACTATGATTCAAATATCAATTCCACCACCTTTCAGAAAATTAGCCTTGAGTAAGCTCTATAACATGCTCTAACATAATCTATTAACCTATAAAATGGGGATACTAAGATTTATATTTACAGCATCTTATAAAGGGTGAAGATACTATCGTGGAGAACTTATCATGGTGTCAGGCATATGGGACTATCAGTAAATGGGAGATGTTCTTAGCCTTATTATTTAGCTGCCATCACCATGCAATTTATAAAATCCATGGAAGTACTAGATGATTCCATGTATTTCTGGACGAGAAATACAAATGCAAAGCCACTGCTATTGAGGCTGTGAGTGAAACACCATCCTCATACAGGATGTCTGTCTTTCTGGCCTGCAGGGTTTGTCTCTCAAGGTTCTCCTGGGATAATGAGACAGGAATTCGGTGAATCGATATTTCTGGGTCTTGGACTATAACTGCTGCCCAAACACGTCTCTTCCTTTATGATTTATTAGTGCTTATCAGATGACCACAGAATAATCTTTCTGAATAACTCCTTGCATACATTCTCTAGTCTAAATACAATGTAAGGTTTAAGTTGTTTTGTTTAATTTCACTAAAATTTACAGTATCTTTAGTTAATCTGCTCTCTTGGTTGTAGGTATTTGGGAAGTAGAAAAGCTGAATGCCAGCACTTTGCTGAGCTCCTACAGAACTCTTGGTCCTTTCCTTGGCCCCCTGGAAGACATTTTTCCTTCTCCAGGATCTGCCAATGTCTCTCCACCAGGTAACACAAACCTTGATTTATTCCCTTCTTACATCTTGCAAGTTCTTCCCCTTCGACTTTGGAGGATGTCCTATGGAGTTTTTCACTGTTTAAACTTTTCCTGATTTTATGGTGACGAACTTATTTCTCTCGGCCAGTGACACAGAAGCAAACTTTCTCCTAAAAATATGAAGGGAAACTCAATTTCCCACCATTAAAATTATCATTTTTCAGTAGAAGTAATTAATTTAATCTAATGGATTTTCATGCAGTCTACATGGAGGATCCATATCTTTCCTATTAAATTGACTGGCCTTATTCCTCACAGAATTCTCACCCTGACTACTGGCATGTTGCTTCCTGCTCTCAGTCATTTGGTGTTAATTGTGCTCTGTCCAAACAGTCTGTTTCTGAATCTCACATAACTTATCAGCCACTGAGAGCAGTGGTGACAGTTTTAGCTCATCGTGCTACAGCTACATAATTTAATAACACAATATTTATTAAACGTCCACCATGTGATAAACTCTGTGCTGTCAGGAGAAATAAAGCACTGTATCAAACAACTGAACAACTCAAACGCTGGGTGGACACCACATGTCACGGGGCCTGGATTTTATAAAAGAAGAAGAAGAGGGACACTAGAGGTTTCAGTGAAGAAGTATTCAGTTCATCTAAGGAAGCCACAAAATCTTCACAGTCGGCTGATGAGGTGGAGCCTCAAAGACTAAATAGGAATTTTCTAGGTGGGAAAAGGAGTCAGGCTGAACAGTAGAACAAATTCAGCAAAGATAATCAAAGACAGAGAGGTGCAAATATTAAGGTATATTCCAGCAGCACTATTGATTACAGTGACTACAGAATAGGGCTGAGGGAAGAGATGGAAATACACAAGTAGGCCAGAGGCAAATATGAGGATTTGTTGAGTCGCATACTCGAGATTAGACCTTATTCTGTTGATCTGCTTACCAAAATATTTTAAGCTGGGGAGTGACCGGATTAGATTTGCCTTTAGAAAATCTCATTCTCATAGTATGGGAGGGATTGGAGGCAAGATGCCACATGGGAGATTCTCATGATTGCTCAGGCTGGAAATATAAGGGCTTAATTCAGGGAGGTGGTGAACGTTCACAACTAATGACAGAGACTCTGGAAGCAAATACATGGGTTTGAGTTATTGCTTGTCTCTTACAAAAAAATATACTCTAGCTGAGCTTCATCCTCTCTCTACACCTCACCTATAAGATGTGGATAATGGTCCTACTCACCTAAGAAAAATGCTGTGAAACCCAAATGATATAAATCATTCATCAAAGTGTCTCATGCACAGTAAATGTTCAATAAAATGATCATTGTTATCAATATTATAGCTGTGGAGGTATTTGAATTGATGGTAGGAAACAAGAGACAATGTGGTCATTTTGCTAACCACTTGCAGTACCAGCCAGATCCTGAACCTCTCCCATATTCAGCCTCTGTCTGCTCAGGACTCACTCTCTGGTCTATTCCTCCAATGATCTAGGCATCTTTATGCTCATGGCCATAGGTTCTTCAGATAAAGCCAATGTTAGCTCGAGCTGCTGCACACAAATTCCCACTTTTTCCTTTCCATTTTGAACTTGCTCATCACACTCTGGCCTCATTTATTCCCCTGTCTGCTTAGATTTGTAACCCAGTCAGGTCTCATTTAGTTAACGTTTGGACTTAATAATCTACCTTCAGACAGACTTTGACAGGAGAAGGGTGAGCAACCCCATTGCTTTGCCCTGCTAGAGACCCGGGTACAACACGGAGCCAGTACTTGCTGCCCTCAGAGCCTTCTCCTCTGGAGAGCGGGGAGAGATATACAAACTCTTAAATAGTCACTTTACATATCAAACACTTTTGTGTTTTACCATGACATGCTAATTTAATACTGCAAGTCCCCTGTCTTTCCCACTTCATTAAAATAATCACAATCATCACTCTTTCTTTTAGTATGACACTATTCATTTTGAAAATTGCTTTCACCTACATTAGTTATTCTAAGAGTCACAAATACCCCCTGAGATATAGGGCTGCAGGAAATTTGGAAAAGAGAGGGTCAAAAAGCCAGTTATAAACACCTACCCTAACATAGCAGGGATGATAATGAAAAATCCCTCAATTTTTTATTCATGTACATTTGTCCTGCTGATGTGTTTTTGTTTAACATTATGCAATGGAATTTGTTCTTGGTGATATATAAAACAACTCTAATTATGATTCTAGTTACAATAAAGCTGTAATTTCCCAACCAACCATATTCACTGCGCTAGTTTACTCAGATTATCAATCCATTATTACTTAACAAAGACTATTAAACATGTGATATTTTTCTTGGTTTATAAATCAGAAATTTAGATTTCAGAGAGATTGAGCAGCTTGCTCAAAATAACTTGATAGTTTTGTACTATAAAATAAATCACTTCCTCCCTATATTAATTTTCGTGTGCTCTTCATTTTTTGCTACTATATATAATACTGAAATAATCTTCATATATAGTTTTTCTTCCTTTTGTGTCAATAATACTATATTGCATTATATACACACACACACACACTTTTTAAGACTATTGGCATAGGGTGAAGACTAAAATGTTCCAAAGTAACCAGCAGTAATTTATACTTATACCAGCTATTAATTTCACAGAACAATGGTTAGATTAGGTTGAAACATGGTTCCTCATTATTGCTCCAACTTTCACTCCTTTGAGCACATTTTTTCCATATGCAACCAAGCATTTGTATTTTCCCTTGTCCGCATTAATCCTTTACCACTTGCCACTACTGTAGGTCTAATGTTTTTCTCAAGCATATGCAGAGAATTTGTAATTATATTTATAGCCTGATGGTTGCACATGGGCTTGTGTGCATATGTGTGCATGTATACATGAGAGAGAATCCCCTTCAGAGGATGCGTTTGCCTGCTCTGCACCCATCCCTCCTCTTCTGGTCACAGCACACCTGGTTTGCCTTTAGTAACCACGATCCTTCCACACTAAGCCCACGTGGTACAGACATCATCAGCAATAGGATCCTCCTAGCAATAGTAATGGTCTAACATCTGGGAACCAAATTCAAGATGGAAGCAACGGAAGACTTGCCCAGAAATTTTGCTGGAACATTTGGGAAAGAGGTCCTCTCCTTCCTCTGGAATACCTAAGCCAGTAAAACACAATCTTTGAATTCATAGTGCCATTTTTTGTTCCTCAAAGAAAGGTTTCCTGGGAATAAAGTCACCATGAGGAGAGTAAAATAAAAACAGAGAGGGAGAGACATCACTGGAGTTCTCCAATTCTGGTAAGACTGAAACAAATCTTAGATTTGATCTTTTCAGTCATGTGAGACCCTAATTTAAGTCACTTGACTTGCATTCTATCACTTGCTATCAAATGCTGTTTGTTAAATTTGAATCTGCCTGCCGGCTTCCCATTCAGGGCCTCACTGGTTCAGAGAGTACAACTTGTCTACACCACCCTTTTCACTGAGACCCAGCCACCTTCTATCACTCTTTCAATTTCCTCTGTCAAGGGTCTACACATTGGGTATAAAGCCCATCCTGGGTGTCCTCAGAAAAGAGCTCCCAGGTGATCCAACCCCTGCCCCCAGTGATTTCTTAAATTCCTTGTTTTAAATTCCCTTCCCTGGCACTCCTCCTTTTGAAATCTGAATCCTATGACTCTTCTCAGAAATTACCGTAAGTGGTATTTGAATGCCCACACCCTATGTTCTTTAAATACTCTCGTTGTGCATTATTGTCTACTCTTCCCTGACCCACAGCTGTATTCATGTTCTAAGTGTGGAATTCCATAGTGATGGTCAGGATAGAAGTGCACATTAACTCCCAAGCAAGTAGAAGATACTCAAAAGTATCTTATTGACTGAATGATTGTATAGATTAGTTTAACCCCTATTCTGGCATATTAAAGTCATCCTAAAGAAGAAAACAACCATTTATTTCTTACATTTGACGCATTAATATGATACTATTGGGGGAGATCATCAAGAAGATATAACCGTTGGTCAACAATTAACCTGGATCTGGGCAATTGGAGGCTTCTCACTCCCTCCCATTTCCTTGAATATGCATTCTAGCTTGCCTTCTCACTCCCAGAAGCTACCCCAAACATACAGCTTTGAGATAGTGATAAAGTATTGAGATCATCTGGATGATTCACATGACTGAACCCAGTTAAGGTCTCAATATAAACTTTGATGTGGAGGGCAGTTGCTGAGATCTCATTTTATGCCCAAGACAGAAGTAAGTTCCTTTCTCATTTATGAATTCCCTTGCTTATTAAACCTGCCACCTACCAATATAGAATGACCTACCTCTTTCTTTGGTCTCTCCCTGCCCTCCCTCTATGGAGACCAGTTTCAGATTATGCCTCTAAAGCTCCCTAGGTTGCAAACTAACAAATGCTATATTAGGTGAAGAATACCAGGTGTCTTTGGTGCTAAACTTTATTGATATGAATTTTATTAAAAAATATTATTCACTGCCTGTGTTCATGGCTTGCACAGCTAAAGCTATTGCTGAAATTTAAATTTCTTAAAAAGCAAGATACACATTACAAGGTCACAAGTGATCATGACAACCAGAAAACTGCAAACAAATAAATGATTCCATTCAATTATGGTCCCAAGCATAGAAAACGCAAACCACAAGAGGTTGAAGAGAATATATCCTCCCTTGGAATCATCCTTTGGATTAAACAGATGCTGGTTCTGGAATGGAATTTTCTTGCTGATCAAAACCTACTGGGAATTAAACATGGTCTAGAATTAATCTAATATTGTCTCAGCCTTAATCACATTGTCCTCTTTTGATGTCATTCTCTGGCTCTTTTAGGGAAGTTTAGCTGTACTCAGGCACATGTAATTCATTCTTAATCCTTTTTATCTGTAGACTTTCATATCTCAGATTTTGTTAATTGACAGCAGGATGTTTTTCTTTTCTAATATAAAATGAGAAAAAATGTTTTTCCCTATGTTTCCTTCATTAATGTTTCTAGTAAACACCTTAAAAAAAAGACAACTTTGTATCCACTCTTTTTTTTGCTATTTTATTTTTTATTTTTATTTATTTTTATTGTTATGTTAATCACCATACATTACATCATTAGTTTTAGATGTAGTGTTCCATGATTCATTGTTTGTGCATAACACCCAGTGCTCCATGCAGAACGTGCCCTCTTTAATACCCATCACCAGGCTAACCCATCCTCCCACCCCCCTCCCCTCTAGAACCCTCAGTTTGTTTTTCAGAGTCCATTGTCTCTCATGGTTCGTCTCCCCCTCCGATTTCCCCCCCTTCATTCTTCCCCTCCTGCTATCTTCTTCTTTTTTTTTTTTTCTTAACATATATTGCATTATTTGTTTCAGAGGTACAGATCTGAGATTCAACAGTCTTGCACAATTCACAGCGCTCACCATAGCACATACCCTCCCCAGTGTCTATCACCCAGTCACCCCATCCCTCCCACCCCACCCCCCACTCCAGCAACCCTCAGTTTGTTTCCTGAGATTAAGAATTCCTCATATCAGTGAGGTCATATGATACATGTCTTTCTCTGTTTGACTTATTTCGCTCAGCATAATACCCTCCAGTTCCATCCACGTCCTTGCAAATGGTAAGATCTCATTCCTTTTGATGGCTGCATAATATTCCATTGTGTATATATACCACCTCTTCTTTATCCATTCATCTGTCGATGGGCATCTTGGCTCTTTCCACAGTTTGGCTATTGTGGACATTGCTGCTATAAACATCGGGGTGCACGTACCCCTTCGGATCCCTACATTTGTATCTTTGGGGTAAATACCCAGTAGTGCAATTGCTGGATCATATGGTAGCTCTATTTTCAACTTTTTGAGGAACCTCCATGTATCCACTCTTTACTCCCCCTTCTCTCCTCCTTCTTGCAAAAGTGCCATGCTCGTCCCCCTCTGATAGAGTTGGCTCCAGACATAGATTGACTTCTTGATTGTGTGGGCCAGTACATCTTAGTCATTCTCTTTCCAAAGAGTTTGGTTCACATTTTAAAATGGTGATGCCACAAAAATATATGATTTTAATCTAAAATGTTTGGGTTCAAACACAAGCTCAACTTTTATGACTTTTGATTAATTTACATACTGATCTCTAAATATTTCCTCATCTGGAAAAAGATTTTACAACAATATTTAAATTATATAATGATAGCATGTCTATCCTCTAAACTGAATATATTATACAGCCAGAGATCATTTCTTGTTTGCATATCTATGTTTTTTATATGCTTGCTCCATCATGACTAGCAATACATATATTTGTTATTGTCATTTGTAAATACAACTATGGTTGTGTATAATATGATGTAGAAATTCATTGAACAGGTTTTATCTAATTTCACTTATTTAATAGCACTGAAAACAGTTTACACATGAAATTCACATAATCCCTTTTAGTTTATTAAGAAGGCTCTTTTTGAGATTGCCTCAGTTCACTCATACATACACTCACACATATACACACCTTACCTGAAAATATATTATAATTACAGATTATGGACTAATTAGAGTATTATTTATGCCTGAAGATTACATACTAATTATACATGAAGTTATTATGGGAAACCTGGCAAAGGCTATGAGAGCAATTGCTATAAAATTACAAGTGGATGCTGTTTAATTTTATGATTATTTGTACCATATGAAAGAGCGCGTTGCCAAAAATCAAACCAGAAGGGTGCTGTGAATCTGTTATCCATGTCCTTTTAATAACGTTGAGCCTCAGCAATGCCAAAAGCGCAGCTTGCTTTGGTTTCAAGGACAGTGGCCTTGGGGGTAAGGCTAAATTTAGAACTCATGCCTATGATACAGAAAGCACAACTACTGTGAGGTATGTTCTGGATGCCAAGTTTATAGTTTGGAGATAAATACTGAACATGGAGTGAAGGGATAAGCATGAGTTACTAATAAAATGTTCAACTTTCTTATAATAACAGTAAACATATAAACAAATGAATAATACATAATAAAATGGTAGTAGTAATAGTCTGTGCTTGCTCTGAGCCAAGCAAGCACTGCTGTGACCTGTCACCCCATCACATCCTCACACCAGCTCGGTGAAGGCCAGCGTACGAGGTAGAGGTACAATATTTCCGTTTTAGAGATGAGGAACCCAAGCACGGGGAGAGAGCATGGAGCCCAAGTTACACACTGTTCGGTGACATTCCTACCTGGGAAGTCTCCCTCTAGGACCCGGGCTCTTAACTAATCATTTTCAGGGACAGAGGATGCCAATTGTTCATTCTCCCTCAATTCTTTCCTCTGGGCACTAAAGGCGCCTACAACAATGCAAATCTTTATTTCCTTTTCTCCAGTCTCAGGAAAAAGAATCACTGCATCCATTCAAGTTCTGAACACTTTTGTGATCTGCTCCT